ACCACCCAAGTGGAGGGGTCTGGTTGCATTGGGCTTTTGTCCTTCATTTTCCTGACCTGGAGACGATCTCATGGAAGCCTGATTTCCTGTTTGCTGAGGGTGGACTTTTCTTCGGGACCTGGTTGGCGAGTTGAGCCAGGAGCCACAGTCATTCCCTCCCTGGGTATTGTGTGAGACTGCCCCCTCCCTTGGGTGTTGAGTGACCCAGGGCTGCTCCTTCCGAGCTGGGATGCAGGCAGTGGTCAGATCATGAGGGTCATCAACAGCCAAAGTGACTCAGTGTTACCCACAAGTTCTGAGTGGGGTCTTGACTGAGCCAGGCAGCTGCGTGCTGAAGCATCAGTAAGAAATGCCTAGTTGGAGGCTGGGCGTGGTGGTTCACGCCTGTAATCCCAGCGCTTTGGGAAACCGAGGTGGGCAGATCACGAGGTCAGGAGTTCGAGACCAGTCTGGCCAACATAGTGAAACCCCATCTCTACTAAAAATATAAATGTTAGCCTGATGTAGTGGGGTGCACGCTTGTAATCCAGCTACTTGGGAGGCTGAGGCAGGACAATCATGTGAACCCGGGAGGTGGAGGTTGGTTGCAGTGAGCTGAGATTGTGCCATTGCACTCCAGCTAGGGTAACAGAGCAAGACTCTGTCTTAAAAAAAAAAAAAAAAAAAGCCTAGTTGGAACATCCACATTCTTCAGGGTAAAGTTAGCAGCTTCTCTGACAGTTTTCACTCCTGTGGGGCATGCTTTCCAGGAGAGAGTTGAATCAGAGCCTGGAATTCTGGCTGATGGGTTGTGTCCCTACGGGGAGTATTGCTGGTTTCAGTCTCAACCAGGGGACGAAGGACATGGCAGAGCATCCAGAGGAGAAGCTGGGGCTCAGCCTGGTCTATGGGAGGAAGAACTGTGCTGCATTGAGCTCTGCAGCAAGGGTTGTGGCTAGCTGGGGTGTTTCCAGGGCTTCTCCCCAGCTTGGAGCTATGGTGCAGGTGCCTGATGACAGTGCCTGGGGGAGCAGTGAGGGCAGGTGGGGGGGTTGACTTCAGTCTCCAGGGATCTGTGTCTGCTGGAGCCCTTCCTCGCAGGCCTGGGAGGCTGGGCTGAAGCCATCTTGTGCCTGTGCATATGTAGGAACAGCATGAGAGCTCCCTGTAGTGGTGGTGTCGGGCGGTGGCTATCTGAGCTCACACTGGCCCTAGAGGCTGTACTTGGGGTATCCAGGGCAGCACGTGCCCTCTAAAAGCATAGTCTTGTGGGAGAATGACAGGATGGTTCCAAGGTTATACCTGGCCAAGGGCTTGCTGCAGATAGGAAGAGCTGTCTCTCTGCCGTGTGTGCCCAGGCCATTCCTATGGCCTAGATCAGGTTGGCTCTAGCTGTGCCCCCTTCCTCGTGTGCTGGCTTTTGAGTCACCCCTGCCCCCCACTTTTAACAAGGAAGCATGTTTGAATGCAGAGCGATTCGGGATGACATTGTCATAAGGCTAACCTTGAATATGCTCACATGCTTAAAAGGCATTTCATTTGTGAATGGCGGCATGTCTATGAGGAGTGACAGATTACTCAGATGTGACTTTCTCCGGTTTTCTGGAGGGGGTCTTCACCTGTCCAGTGGCCCAGGGAGGGTCAGGCAGTGTGGCAAGAATGGAGCCAGCAGACTCCCTTTTGTTAAAATTGTGCAAGAACCACACAGCCTGGGTTTGTGCCTCCCGGCGTTGCTTACAAGGTTCTGAGTTCCAAAGGGACTGGTTTTCTTTCTCTAGGAGTTTCCTACCATGTCCATTTTAGAAGGAAAGGATACTCTCTGGGGCTTCAGTGGTCCCCTTGGGCTTAACATGTGAACCTTCCGCTGGTCAGTGTGGCTGGAAGGAGGCTTCTGCCGCTGGAAATCCATTTCTCAAAGCAAGGAGCCAGCCAGGCTGACCACGGAGCCCCTTCCTGTATTGGTTATGCACCAAGTCGCCCAGGTGCGTTCCCGTCATTGGTCCACCAAGGTGGGCAGTGCATCCCGGACCTGGTGGAGGTGGGGAGGCTGCTGGGTACCCCTGCTGGATGGTAGATGGCTCCCAAAACCAGTGCTGCCTTTCTCAGGAAGCCCATGGCCTGAGGCCCTCCCACACTGTCATTGTCAAACTTGAATTTCCAGTTGACTGAACGGGGAAAATCTGTCTTCCTACTGGAATGTTGACTTGAGGGAATCTTTCGTCTCAGATTTCACACGTGCTTTGTTGGGTCACATTGCCGTCCTCTTAATAGTCTAGTATGCTTGGTGTGGTGGGGAAGTTTTGAAGTTAAGTTTTGGATAGTTTTAAAATCTGGGTTTGAGTTAAGCAGTATTCTAATAGGGCAAGGGGTCATTTGACATACTGATAAATCTTTTACACTCTGTATGGTGGCATTAGACAGTTTTCTGAACCTTCTGTCCCAGCCGTCTTTCCCTTACCCTGGTTCTTGGTACTTTTGTGGTTTAAATCACAGTCTGTTAGGGAAATGTGACCATGCGCTCCATGATATAGGCACCTTACAAGTTGTTCTAAATAACAGCACTTCGCTTCAAAAGACTTGTTAAAAATAGCGCCATTGGATAAAATCATTTTGGCCATCACCTCCTTCTCGTGTTGAAAATGTGTTAAGTATTCAAGAATGTGATGGGTGAAACAGCTTAATTCAGCTGTACAACCCAGGTGTGAATATTTAGCCCTGGGAAGGGAGGGACGATTCTTGCAGGGTTAGAAGTTTCAGGAGGACAGCGCCTCCTTCCCAGTCACAGTTCTGCAGCGCTGGCCTGTATGCCCTTAGAGGTTTACTTATAGGAAGTTTGAGACTGAGCCAGAACCTTTCTGGGTCTCTCGCACCTGCAGGGGAAATAGTAGCATCTGGGGTTTTCTGCCTCTAGCACATTGTTAGTTTACTCAGACTCCATTGCTGTTTCCCACAGTCATTTGCTCTTTCTGAAGACGCCGGGCTGTGGGCGTCACTGCCCTTAGTGGATTTCCTTCCTGGCAGCTCTCCCTGCAGATTCTGCCTCTGGAAATCAACACGTATTGACCCCGTGCTCCCCCGGATTACTTGGCTGGAGTCCCCTTTCCCTTCTCTCTCCTGCAGTAACTGTCTTCTTCCAGCCTGTGGGATGTTGCTTTATGCTGGACAGGGCTGGATTCGGTCTTGGCTCTGCTGGTGCTGAAAGGCCCTGAGGCCCAGGACATCATCCACACACCTCCGATATGTGGCGAAGCACCGGGCAGCCTTGGCATTGCTGAGCACTTGGACAATTGACTTCTGAACACCAGGCAGGGAAGGTCCCCTCTGTCTGAATGCCACCCCACCCTTCACCCCAAGGCACCTTGGCCAGACCCTCCTCATTCTTCAAGATTCTGCAACCCCTGCCTGCTGTGAGGAGTGAGTTAGGTTCCATCTGTGCCCAGTTGTGCTGTGTGCTTTACAAATGAACTAGAACCAACTGTCTGTGAGGGGAGGGCAGAAATTCAGGGATGGGGGACAGCTGTCAGTAAAGCAGGCCACACCAATCCGGGCTGTTCTGCTGGAATTCAGTTGATGTCTTATTTTGTGTGACTGTCATTCATCTGAGCCCAGGGTGGAGCTGCAGGAACCCCATGTCTGAGCGTCTAGCAGGCCCTCAGTTGCCACCTGATGGGGCCATCCTGCTTCTTCAGGTCCTTGATTATATCCCACAAAGAGAAATAGATGGCTTAAAAGTCTTTTTCAGAGGCAGAAGGGACAAGAAAAGTGGAAGTGTAGTGTGGAAGTGGCCAGGTTTTAACCTGGTTGCACTCCTGGTGGCTCCTGGTGTCCTATCAAGAGAAGGAATCATGGCCCCAGAGCTGGGCCTGGGATCCGCATGTGTGTCGCAGATCTCTCCCGGGAAGCCAGGCTGGGGCCCTCCCAAGGTGACTGGTGGTTGACATCCAGGATTCAGGTTTCTTAGCAGCTAGTGGTGATGGTGAGGGTATGGGTGTGGGGAGATGGCTGGGGGTGTTGATGGGGGTGGGGGAGGTCCTTGGGAGTGATGGTGATGGTTTCTTTTCTTACCAGCAGTTTTTGAGTCCAGAACCACATGAGTGACCTCAGCGTAGGTCAGAACAAGGAGATGTCTGAGACCTCTCAGTGTGCTCTTTCTTGGCCAGCAAGTTACTTTACCTCGGTGGTCATCAGTTTCTTCTCTGACAAAATGAAAAGATTTTTATCTTGATGCTGCTTTGCATCTTGAAGCAGGTTAAGAGAAGGTTAAAGAAAACCAAGCAGTTTGTGGAAGCCGACTGAGCAGGCAGCTCACTTGCAGTATTCAGCTCTCAATCCGTGGGACCCGCTGTGCCAGCCATAAAGCTGTGCTGAGGTGAATCGCTTCAGCAGAAAGATGCCTCCCCGCAGAGATCTAGGAGCCTTTGACTGTTTAACAGTGAAAAAACCCATGCTTTTAGGATTGCAGTGTAAGACCCCACTGTGAAGAGGTGCTCTCTACCCTCCAGCGCAGACCAGGGAGGTGACAGGCACTGGCTTTGGGACACCATCAGCCCCCAGGAGATGGCATAGCCACTGAGGCCCACGTCCAGAGTTACACTCTTTCTTTTTCTGATTCTTGAAGGTGTTAAGACATCTCTTTAGCAAGTCTTTACTTCTTTTTAAATGTTTTTTTTCTCCTAACTCCTGAATAAAAACTCCAGGCAGTAATATGCTGCTTACAATGACCTTTTTTTTTTTTAATTTTTTTTAAAAGGCAGAATCTTGCTCTCTCACCCAGGCTGGAGTGCAGTGGTGCTATCTCGGGTCACTGCAACCTCTGCCTCCCGGGTTCCAGTGATTCTCTTGACTCAGTCTCCTGAGTAGCTGGGATTATAGGTGCCTGCCACCGCACCCAGCTAATTTTTGTAATTTTAGTAGAAACAGGGTTTTGCCATGCTGGTCACTCTGGTCTTGAACACCTGACCTCAGGTAATTCGTCCACCTCTGCCTCCCAAAGTGCTGGGCTTACAGGCACCTGCCACCATGCCCGGCTAATTTTTGTAATTTTAGTAGAGACGGGGTCGCCCAGTGATACTCAGGTTGGTCTTTAACTCTTGGGCTCAAGAGACGCACCCACCTCGGTCTTCCAAAGTGCTGGGATTACAGGCTTGAACTACCATTGCCAGCCTGAGCTGGTTACATTCTAAGGACTCTTTGTGAGACTAATTAAAACATTTTTCTTTCCAAGGCACATGGCAGGTGGTGCTGTTTCTTTCCTGCAGGATGTTTGCTGAGCATTTGTGAGGGGAGCATCTTTAGGGAAAGCAGGACAAGCCCTAAAAGGCTTTCTCTGAATATTACCTTTGCTCTTCACTTTGGTAGGTCCTGAAGGCATAGAAAGGGGTCCTCTGGAGAACACAAACTGAGCATTGCTGGGCCTCAGGGGCCTCCAGTGATGCTGGAGGCAGCCACTGCTGTCCTTCAGCTGCGAGGAGCAAGGAGGGTGATTCCAGCTTTCTCCTGGTTGATTTTGCCCTCTTTTAAAAAATAGGAAGTTTGCAAGATTTCTTGAAAGAACTCTAGTTGGAGTTGTAAAACTAATGTTTTTTCCTCTGGTCCCTGCCACCCACTGGAAGGGGACTGCAGGGAAGTGTCATCTGCATGGCTGTTTAATACCTTGTAACTCTGGTTGTACTACTCTGGACAGGGCTTCTGAGAACCACCTGCAGTTCTGCTTATTGCTGGTGTTGAGATTCAGTTTTTGCAGGAAGGAGAGACATTGGCGCCAAGAAATTCTATCAGGGGACGTTTAATAACTGGAAAGAGCTTAGGAAGCCAGGTTTGGAGAGCCAGATGCCTTGGTGTCCTTATAATGCAAGTGGGATTGCATTGTGTGTCAAGGCTTGGCATTGTCGGAGGTCAAGAAGACTAACTGAGTCAAGCAGAGCCATTGGTGCAGAGCACTGGGGAATGGATTCCTGGGAAGTGGAATTTTTTCTGCTACTCCTTCATTCGCACCTGGATTCAATTGCATTCATGCGCTCACCTGCAACGTATGTGGGGGATGCTGCTCCCATTGGCTAGGCACTGGGTATAGGGGAGAGGGAGGTGGGCAGGTGCACACACACCTGGCAGAGGTTCGGAGCTGCGTTGTGGGGGAGGGGTGCAGAGAGGCTTAACTCTGAGAATGGAGGAAAAGGAGACCAGGAGAGTTCAGAGAGGTGGCGGGAAGAGTGAGGAGAGAGCAGTAGCCAAAGTTGAGAGAGTTGAGTTTCAGAAAGCCAGCGCAGAATGCACTGCCCGGCAGGGAGTGTGATGGGCCCCGTCCCTCTCTACTGAGCCAGGTTCTGACTCTGCAGAACATTGGAGGCCTTGCTGTGGGCTCAGGGAATGCAGAGAGGCAGTGCCTGCCTCGGTCCTAACTTCTCACCTGCATACATCTGCACACGTATCCGACTGTGTGTGACACAGTGAAGCGTATGGGGACAGCCACATCTGGGTTTCAGTTTTCAGTTACCCCCCTGGCTGGGTGGTTCCTCTGAGCCTCTGTTTTATTCCATCGCCGCAATTAGCATTAATAGTGTAGCCAAATCCAGGATCAGCTGCCCACCACTCAAAAGTCGAGAGATAAGGGTTGGTGGGAGGAAAAGCAGGTTTATTTGAAAACCAAGAAGATGGCGAACTAACACTCTCAAGTACTGTCTTAAGTCAGTACAGATTTTAGGCTTTTTATGTTAAGGGCTAGGGAAAGAGTTGGGGGTTTAGATCAAGAGGTGACTGATGACTGCAAACATCTAGTGGAGGGGTGGGGGGGCAGGTCAGAGGAGGGTGGGACTTTTTGTCATGGTCAGGACATGATGCTCCTGTGAATTTTTAACAAAACATAGTTGTTTACATATTTCTCCTTTAATCCCAGAGTTAGTTTTAAAGCCGCATGATTGTGTTGCTAGGAGTAGTTAAGAACTGATTCAAGGTCACTAGCACATGGTGAATAGTAAGTAAACAATTGCTCCTGCTAGACTCATCATTGTCAGTATTAAGGTGAGTCCATGCATCTCTCTGGCCTGTTGGCTCACATTCACGATTTCACCATGTTGGCCAGGTTGGTCTCCAACTCCTGACCTAAGCTGTTTGTGCCTATTATCTCAGTGCCCTAAATTCATCCTAGCCTAGTGCAGGAATTGGACAACTAAAATGGAGTTAGTTATGTTAGTTCTTTTGCTGTTTCACTGTTACAGTACCTGTCTGGCAGTGTTGCTAGGATTAGTTGAGAACTGGTTCTAGGTCACTGGCACATGGTGAAGAGTTAGTAAATAATTGCTCCTGCTAGAATCATCATTGTTAATATTAAGGAGGCGAGTCTACACATCTCTCTGGCCTGTTGGATCACATTTGGGGGTATGGCATCTGTGTGTGAAGTGGAGCTGGTCTCTGGTGACCCGGGTACAGTTTATGTCTGGAGCTATCATTTGCCCAGTTGCCTCCACGGCCGTGGATTTGGAAGGAGCCAAGAGCCAGTGTCTCAAGCAGGTGAGGGTGAGGTGCATGAGAGGAGCCTGGAGCCTTCAGGGCACCTGTGAGCACATGTGACATTGGTAAGTGGCACTCCTCATGCTGAGCAACTGAAGTTGTATTTCCACCTCACTGGCCTGGTCCTCTTGATGCGTGAAAGGAACTTCCAGGTAAGGACACCAGAGTGTGGTTGCCTCCGCCTCCCACCTCACCCCATGGTGGGGCCTATGCAAGATCAGCCCTCTGAGGTCAGCCCTCCAGGTCCCCTTACTGGGAGGACAAAGGCTTTTTTCTGTGACTCACCTCTGACCAGAAATGTAGGGAAGCTTATTTGTAACTAATACCACCCAGTCACTGCAGGAGACCTGCAGAAGGGCTCTGGGGAAAGTGATCTTCAAAAATAGAAAGGTTGAGTGAAGGTCGGGCTTTTGGGAGAAGGCGAAGGAGCCTATAGGCAGCACACTAATTTGGCAGGTAATTAGGAACTCTGATTTTGAGCATCTCATTTTAATTAGCGTGGTCCAGCCTGCCTTGCGGTGCTCACACTGAAGCAGAGAGTGGCCTGCTTAGCTGCTCCGCAACACTTATTTAGGTTTCTTATTTGGGAAGTTTGCATGTGATCGGGCCAAGTGACATTTGTTTTGAGTTCCCTCTCAGGGCCCAGGGGTGCGCTCCTGACCACCCCAGGGTGGAGGTGGGGTACCCCTGTCTGGGCATCAGTTTCTTGGGAAGGAAGGAAAACACCAGGCCAGGCTGCCATGTAACAGCCCTTTAATCAGAAGCCCCCTCTGCACCTGGGCCTGCTGTTCCCAGTACCTTTCAGGAAACTGCCAGAAAGGCTCCAGCCTTAGGAAGAATGATCCATTTACGCGCCTGTGGTTGGAGGTTCCAAGTGCCTTGAAAAATACCTTGATGCCATTTGAAGCTGTTTCTTCCTTCTCTTTCCTTTCTATTTTAAAATCATGGAACCATTTCTTTTTTTTCTTTTTCTTTCTTTCCTTGTCTTTTTTTTTTTTTTTTTTTTTTTGACAGAGTTTCACTCTTGTTGCCCAGGCTGAAGTGCAGTGCTGCGCTGATTTTTGTGTTTTTAGTAGAGATGGGGTTTCACCATGTTGGCCAGGTTGGTCTCGAACTCCTGACCTTTGGTGATTCACCCGCCTCAGCCTCCCAAATTGCTAGGATTACAGGTGTGAGCCACCATGCCTGGCCGGAACTGCTTCTTGAGTTTTTCAAACAATGCCTTCTCTCTAGCCAGTTCAATTGGAGAGGATCCTGGAGAGGTGGTGGAGTTGGCTTCTCAGCATTGTGGGGTGGGGCTGGGGTAAGGACAGTGTGGCCGCCATGGTCAGCCTGCATGCTCCTAGGCAGAGCCACAGGCATTGCTGATTCTTGTTTCCAGATGGATGTTTCTAAAGTTTTTCTTTTTTTTTTTTTTTTTTTTTGAGATGGAGTCTTGCTCTGTCACCCAGGTTGGGGTGCAGTGTTGCAATCTCAGCTCATTGCAACCTCCGCCTCCTGGATTTAAGGGATTCTCCTGCTTTAGCCTCCTGAGTAGCTGTGATTACAGGCACCCACCACCATGCTGCCTGGCTAATTTTTGTATTTTTAGTAGAAACAGGGTTTCGCCACGTTGGCCAGGCTGGTTTTGAACTCCTGACATCAGGTGATCTGCCTGCCTTGGCCTCCCAAAGTGCTGTGATTATTGGTATGAGCCACCATGCCCGGCCTCTAAAGTTTTTCTTAAAGGAGCCAGAGGCTTGCCTGCTCTGCAGTGCCATCCTTCTTGCAGTCCCTGCCTGCTTCTGTGATGCACAGAACCTGCTGCCCTGCCCCGTCTGTGTTGATTAATCTTTATTTCTAGTGTCTGAGTAAAGGCAGTCTCCAGTCCCATCTCCAAAGCCTGCTGCGTGCACAGCAAGATGCTCATAGATGCCTGGTCCCTGCCAGGGACACACATGGACCTGGAGCAGGTGGGCAGGTAGAGCTCAGGGAACAGGCATGTGGGGCAGGCTCTCTGGGCACATCCAGGGCTGGACTGGGGGCAACATGGGGGTCACTGGCTGCATGCAAAAGCAGCTTATGTCGTCTTCCCTCCGCCAGCGCCAGCTGTCCTACAGCAGGAATAAGTAGTCATGTTTGGAGGCCGGGCTGTGCATGAGCTATTCAGGCCTTGGGGTCTTTTCATCAGATCCCTTTTGGCAGAATATAAGTACGTTGACCCAAACCACATTTTGGAACTTCTCCTTTGGTCTTGTCAGTCTCCCTCTGTGATTGAGACCATCATGAAGCCCGGGTTGGCTGAGGTGCTCAGGAGAGGAGACTTTGGGGGTCATCCCCCATTTCTGAGTTACGGAAGTTAAATGGCAACTCGATTTGGGGGCACACCATGTGCGTGAGGCCCGAGTTTGCAGGTTTGCGCAGGGCATTGATTGGTTGGTTAGTTGACTGGCTGGGGAATATTTGGGGCACCTGCTGTGGGCCATGTACACAGTGAGGAAAAGCAACACAGACCCCAAAAACAAAGTGATGCAGACCTGGCTGCTGTGTCCTCGTGTTTCTGCCTGCAGGCTCCGTGGGAGTGGTGAGGGAGAAACGGCGTCCTGCAGGAGAGGGATGGCTCCAGCTTGGCTTCTGGAAGCCTCCAGAAGGATGTACTTGGGGACAGACCTGAAGAAGGGTTGTCCTGAGGGCGGGAGCCCGCCTGGCGGGACCCAGCCTGCATGCCTGCAGCAGTTCCTCAGAGCTGCCTCCTCAGGCCTCAGCCACTCACAGAGCACCCCTTCTGTCCAGGCCACTCATCAGTTCCGAGGTCCGGGTCCAAGAGCAAGCCTGTGACCCCTGGGTGCCCTTTATCCTTGGCCTATACCGGCCTTCTGCATTCTAGGGCCTACCCTTTGTTCCAGTGGCTACAGAAGAGAGAGGAGGGACGCTGACCCCAAGGCCTAGGCCAGTCTCTTCCAGGCTGCCCACAGCTAGGTGTTCGGGATGGGACAAGGCAGCCCCAGGCCTCTTCTATAGATGAGCCTTGGGGAACTCTGGGGTAACACAAACCAGAGACGGGCTTCAGTAGAGTGCTATGAGTGCCTAACCTTTTACCTGTTTTCTGCTCTGACCAGGCACCTTGGGGTAGGGAAGGCATCTGGAGCCTTCTGCTGAGTTCAGTGGGAGGTGCTCTTTGTTTCCAATACTCTGGTTCCCTCTCTCCCCTGTCTGCATGTAAATAATATGCTACTGTATGTAAATTTACACAAACGAATGTAAGATAGTTATATGTGTCTACCTACTGCCTTAGAAAGTCCAGTAGGATGAATATCGAACTTTTCAGACTGTAAGGTCATGAATCTAAAAGCCGTGGCTCATTGGATATTTGAGAAGTGGAGTGAATGTGTTAATGGAAGTTTCTTTTGGCTAAATTCCTGACCTAAGCTTGTGTGGTCTTTTGCTCTTCATTGGCAATGTAGAAGTCAGGTTTGAACTGAGGGCTGTCTGACTTTACATCCAGGTTTGATCATTTTCTGAGGGTGCAGCATTTAGTGGGCACCTCTGTTGCACACCAGAGGGCTTTCTGGAGGCTGGGGTCGGATCCCCAAGGCAGGCTTGGTCTTCCCAGCTGGCTCAGACTGGGGATTTATGGGACTGGGTCCTGGGTGAGCTCTGGAGCCCGTGGTCCGGTTGTCTTGCTGACCAGGTCCGCCTCCTTCTTCTCCTCTAGCAGAGCCTGTGGGACGTGAGGTGAAGTCCTGGGAACATCTCCCACTTGGAATGAGAGGGAAAGGCTGGAACCGAGTGGGGCTGGCCGCGGGGATGCCCAGACTCTGGACTCTTTTGGGGATCACAGTTGTTCCTCTTGGAAGCTGTTGCTCACTGCGTGCTGATTTTGTTGAAGACTGGAAAGGCTTGCTCATGTACTGCCACTGGGAAGGGAAATCACTCTGAAGATGGTGCTGCTGGGTACGGGCTCTGGAATCACCTTGATTTAGTAAAAGGCATGAAGTATTTTCATTCCAAAGATTCTGGCTTTTGAGAACTTAGAAAAAGAGAACTTACCAAAAAATGGAAAATGAGAATGATGATGTTGGTGAGCGTTTATTGGCCTTTTTTTCCTGGGCCAGTAACTCTCAGTGCTTAACCTGAAGAAGCCCACTTAACCCTTCCAGCATCCTGCCCTAGAGCTTTCCCTGCTGTCTAGATAAGGGAACGGAGGCACAGAGGTTGAAGAACTTGCTGTGGTCCACTCAGACAGCCTGACCCCAGAGCGGGCACTTCAGGTCCTGCCCCATGGCTGTGTGCACCTTCATGGCACGTGCTGGGGTCATGCCTTACGAAAATGACAGACTTGACTGCATCTCAGTGAGAAGTAAGACACTTTAGATTCAGTTAACTGTTAATGCCTAAATGACATTTAAGGTACCTATTGGTGCTTCCTTGAGCCCTGCCCCATGTGAGTGAGGTTTTGCGTTCCTGGGCAGGTTAGCTCCCCTCAGGAAGCGGCCTGTTTGTAAAATGATGGGTTTGGACCAACAACGTGGTCTTTAGAGACAGATATGCCTGGGGCAGAGTCCACCTGTCAGTGGGAAGAGGACCTGGCACGGGCTGCGGAGAAGGGGGTGGCAAGTAGGAGGCTGGGTCCTTCCCTGTGTGGAAGGGGCCTTGCTCTGTGCCTGGCCCTGCAGGGTATGCAGTGCACGCACACGTTTATGGGTATTATTCTGTTTCATACAGGCTGTGTGTAGAGGGGGGTGTGGTGCTCAGTGGAGACGGACCAGGCTGTCCTCCTCTAGTACTGACACCTCTTTCTTCTTTTCTGTCACCTCCTTCTCATCACCTCTGTTGTCTGTTCCCGACAGGCTTCTGTGCCTTGGAGACCTCTGTGTGTCTTTCTCTGTTCTGGTTTCCCTGTCTCCCAGCGTCTCTGGGAGGGACGTGTATGATTGATTCCAAGAATAAAGTATGACCAGGAAAACCCTATGTTTTGAAATCTGACCTCTCAAGCCCTGGAAAGTGCTCAGAGCATTTCCAGAATGTTCTCATGTCTCCATCCACTTCCTTTCCCTTTCTGCTTTAACCCCGCTACCCTCTAGTCTTAGCCTTCAGGAGAAATAAAAGGACCCCAGAGAGGCCAGCCCACTTTTACCCACACTGAGTTCCAGGAAGCTCAGTCTGGTTTTCCCATAGGAACGATGTTATGATGGGATGGGGACTGCATTCCTCACTGAGGCCTCGGCCTCGAAATGTGCAATTAGAGAGATGCACCGCTTTCAGCCGCTGCAACTTGCAAGAGTGCAGTTATGCCCTCAGCCGTAAATCTGTGCACATTGATTTCCCGAGGAGCCCAAGGTACTGTGGGTGGAAGGAGAGCCTATACGAATGTGAGTGCTGTGAAATCATTACCATAGCCTCAAACATGTCTGTTCTTAATAAGGAAAAAACAGTTCATTACACTTCATTGGGTTGTTTTTATATATATATAGGGTCTCGCTCTGTGTCCTAGGCTAGAGTACGGTGGTGTGATCTTGGCTCACTGCAGCCTTCGCCTCCCAGGCTCTAGAAGTCCACCCACCTCAGCCTCCTAGGTAGCTGTGACTATAGGCATGTGCCACTGCATCTGGCTAATATTTTGTGTGTGTGTGTGTGTGTGTGTGTGTGTGTGTGTGTGTGTGTGTGTG